GATTCTATCGGCTCCAAATAAGAAAACACCGCGTGGATTCCAGAAATACAGGTAGTGTCTAGGATCATAATATTTGTTGTTTTTTAAAATATATTTTATTTAAAAATATTAAAAAAATTAAAAATTAAAAAAATATATTTTAAAATTAAAAAAATTATATATGTTTTATAAATACAGAAATAAACACAACCTACCGCTACTATCCAAAAGATCTTTGCTAGCAAGCTATTATGTTTGATTTTATGTTTAAAAAAAATATTTTTTCATTTTTTAAAATTAATATTTTTTTAGTGTTTTATAATTATTTTGATGTATTTGTATAAAAATAATTTTTTAAAAAATAAAAAAATTATTTTAATATATTTATAAATAAAAAATACTTTAAAAAATAATTATAATCCAACTATAACCTTTTAAAATGAGTCATCGATTGAAACAAATTGTCGTCCTTCCTGAAAACAATATACTTTTATTATGTGATTATTTACTAAAGTGGTTAATTCAAATAAATTTTATTAAGAAAAATATTGTCAATGGATTTGGAATACCACAAACCACTCTCTCGTTGAGGGTTACTTTTCGCCGACAAAAGAGTTGGAAGAATTTGTTGCGAACATACGCATGGTAGAACGGAACACTTCAATACCTTACTATGCACAAGCGACCGACCAAGCAGAGGCCGGCCGGTAATAAAATAATTATAAATATTTTCAAGAGGATGGTCGAGAATCGCCCGAGGGCTTTGACATGAACTTCCGGGAGAAGCACTGGATATGTAGAACTTAACGAATACCTTGCGCCAAGTTTAGCCCATTTGTGTCGAGATTGTGATTCCATCAGAAATTACAGTTGATTCAAGGTGAATAATTGCTCACCAAAGTCTACTAAAACATGATAATTGTTCAGAATAAATGCTGCTGGTAAAATTATAGAAGTTCGGTTCATGATCCAAAATAAATGAATATTCAGAGGCCAAGCCCTTGGCCGGAACAACAGTAAAAATATTCAAAAGGCCAGACAAATTATGGTCGTTGATTACGAGAATAAAGTGTTCCGAAACCAACGTCCCTAGCAAGGAGATTGATTAATTTTGATAAGTTTCTGTGAAAAAACTATGATTTGGCGAAGCTCAGGCCATTTATTTTCAGCTCGCTGCTCCTCTGAATTAATTTTGATGAAGAATGTGGAGGCATCTTTCAAAGAGAGTCTTTTGCTTTGAGCCATCAGAGGGACCGATTCATTTGTTGCAGCCACACGCTTCTCCATTCCTCTTAAAAGTTGCCTTCACTTCGATCGGTCGCCTTTGCTTTCTGGATTTTGCCATTAATAATCACCAGCTCATTAGACAAGGCAATATGAGCTTTCTGTGGTCTCTCAATCTTTACCTAGGCACTTGAGAATTAGATAGATAATCGATCCTAGGCTTATCTACAAGTTTCTATTTAAAGGAGTGTTTGAAAATGTGATCGATTCCATATTTTTAAAAAAATTATTTTTTTTTTTGTAAAAAATTATGTTTTTTTAATGTTTTGGATGGTTAGATAATTAATATATTTTGACATGAAAAATATTTTAAAAAAGAATTATAATCATCCTTTTAAAGAGACCCTTATCAATTCTTCTTGTTGGGGAGTGCTTCAACCTATTTATTCTACCTTTCCATAACATCCACAAGGTTCATGATGGTTTGCATGTATATATCCATATTGTTTAACCCCATTATAGCTCCAAAATCCAGTATGTTGTGATTTTTCTGAAATCTCTCGAGAATTTTGAGGTCGGCGAAATCAATGTCTAGTGCTTCAAAAATGATAGCCAGCGCATGTCATGCATTTCCCAGCTCACCGACGAAAAGTCTAGAGCTCTTAGTTGTGGTCTCTATTTGAGAAGAACTTACGGCTGAAGAGGTGCTGCAATGACTTCGAGCATCCATCGTGAGTTTCCTCGCCACTTCAGAGTTGTTTACCTAAACAAGAGGCAATTAGGAAAGTTGAACCTACAATAGCCTGAACAAAATTTGTTACCTTATTAATCCTCAATGAAGGGGAATGCGTGCCAGCTAGCTAGGAGATTTGGAAAAAGTATAGTTTTCCTTTTCAGCGGCTTGTTTGGGAATCTCCACAACCTTTCGTTGATTATCGGTGCTTCAGCAATGATTTCTTTTGAAATTATCTCTGGTGCATATTTCTCAGTTCAGGTTTCTACGAAGAGGAAGCCATTTAGCATAGACGAATACCCTTCTGGAATCAGGGTACCGATAAAACTACTAAACAAATATACCAGTTGTGGTGCTGACGAACTTGGACTCGTAGGCCTTAAGAGAGTTAGGTGATCCATGTATTCTTCTCCACGAATAATTAGAGAATCATATTGGGCTCTGCTTCCTTATTATTTGTTGTAATAAAATAGAATGAAGAAAATTAATAAATAAAACTTGAGGCATCAGACATTCAATAAGTTTTTTTAAAATAAAACAAGGGCTACACAAACAACTAGACTAAGATGGAATGGAGTTACCACCAAGTTTTGCAAATATTAAAAAATATTATATTTTTTTAATTAATGTAGGTATTCAAATTTTTTTAGTACACATTGACTGTAGGGGTGCTTAGTATATAGGCCACTAACATGTAACAATTAAAAAAAATTAAAAATTAAAAAACTGTTATAAAAATTTTAAAAATAAAAAAAATTGTTATGAAATTAAATCCAGTTCAATGTAAATGCAATCGCTAGAAATCCATTGCTCATTTTGTTAGAGCTAACCAAGTGCGAGAGAGACGACCTGGAAATCCAAAACTCAAGGAGCATTTACCGACTCTGTTTATTATAAATAAATAGATCAATGACAACCTGTCCAGGAAGAGAAATTGATACACTGGGCAAATCATTACCAATTTTGCTCATCCTAAGCTGCTGCCTCGACTGCATTAATATGGAAAATTCATGATGTGATGCACTTCGTGCTCGGGCCTCACACGTTCCGTAACTTTGCACAATCGCGGCTGCATTTAACGCTATTTATATAATTTATTAAATATATAAAGGTGTTTAAAAATACAGTAATAATTATAATTTAAAACATTTTTTATTTAAAAATATATATTTTTTATTTTTAAAAAAATATTTTTAACATCAACATATTAAAAAATTAAAAAATTGATTAAAAAACCATCTCAATCTAATAATTTAAACTGTTAGATGGGGTATCAAGACATAATTTATATTATTTTTTAATACATTCTTTTAAGTAAAATCTCTATGGACTTGAAACTTATATAGGTCTATATTATATTATGTTTAATTTTTATTAAATAAATAAAAATAATAAGATTTAAACTCGTGATCGTTTAGTCATTAAAGCTTTAATATTATATCAAAAAACCATTTCAATCTAATTGTTTAAACTGTTAGGTAAAATTTTAAAATATAATTTATATTATTTTCTAACAAAATTTAAAATATTAATTTTAAAGAACAAAAAATTAATTTTTTTAAAAAAATATAATTTAAATTATATTTTCAAATATTATCTTTAAATGAACGCTTAACTCTATTCACTTTATAATTGGACATCCCAAACTGAATAAACTGGTTTTCCTCAAATTTATTTTGAGGGCACTCAACTCAACATTACCATCAACAAATAAAATGTTTTAATTTTCGTAGTGAAAATATAATTTATATAAAATACTCGGTACCGTTGTGATTTCTTTTTTTTTTTTTCAAGGATGGTTATATACAGGAAAGGTCTGGCTGCTTCCGAATGTGGGGTTGGCGTAACTTGACAGGATGTATAGATTCGAACCACATGAGGTTCTGCCGGGGGTCGTTTGATTCGAAGAGGGGACGGATGAGACTAGAATAGGATTCCCGAAGGAGTCGCTAAAGCCAACGCTTGAAGTGTCCCTATCCCTTTTGCCATTTTCATGGGACTTGAGAGAGATTGTATCTGTCTGTCTGCATGGGGGCAGTTGGGAGCAAATCCTTTCAACACGTGGTCCTCGAGAAAAAAACACAAGGGAGATCTATCGACCTTTTCTTTCTATCGAGTTTGGACTCCGACAGCGTCGTTCATTTTCACAACTAAAGGTACATGCATCTTAAAGTTCCCTGCCTTTCCATTGGGCCACTGGCTTCATCACTCTGGAATATGACACGTTTTGGGTTTGTGGGCCTGTAATAAATGTTATTATCAGATTTCTCGAAAGAAGATAAATAAAGAAAGGAATAGAAAAGAAAATGCTGTTGCCTGTGGATGTTAAAACCTTCTGTTTTTACCTTTCTTAATTTTTTCATTTTTTTTCGGAACTAGTGACATCTGGCATGCACATTCATTTCTTTTTTCTGTTTATATGGGGAATATTTCATTGTTTATCTTAAAACAAACTTATATATCCTTTACATTTTGTCCTTTTTATTTATTTATTTATTCATAACAGTTAGTCCCATGCCTTTATCTTGATAATCATTTGTACTTTAATTATATAATTACCCTCCTTTTCCTTTTAATTTCAAATTATTCCTAACTTGTTTAATCCATTTTTATTGGTCTTCTTTCTAACGTTGGCCATTCCACTAAAGCCCATTAACTGCTAGGCTCACAAGCCCTAGTCGTCTGCCATCGTTACACCTCCCTCTGTATAGGCTGTGCCGTACACGCACGTCGGCAATCCTCCTTCAGTTCATTTTTCAACTGCTTGCATGTTTCCAGTTTCCTCCATCCTGTTTTTCCTTCTCTAAAGCATTATTTGCACCCTTCTTTCCTCGGATATCTAGCTTAGTTCGAGTGCTAGCCTTTTCCTGAACTTGTTGAATTCAACCCTCTTATCTGTACGTTCACCATTCCCTGCTGTTCCTTCCCTTTGCCATTTCTCTCTCTAAATCTCTCTAGTTTTTTCTGGTAGGAAATCACCTAATGGCCGGCCAAGACAAGGACTTTAACGACCTAAAAAGACTTGGATCTCTCCTCTCTAAATCTTCCCTCACCATCTCTGAGAATAATGTTGAGGCCCTCAACGATATACTGCTTTACGGGAGTCCCGTTGCTTACTATGAAAATCATGAAACTCTTAAAAACACTACTAACTTCTACTTCTATCACAAGCTTTGCTTCGGATTCTTCTTCTCCTGGCTCATCTTCATCTCGAGCAGCTTTTGCCTTTGCTCGCGACCCAGGCCGATCTACCCGATCAAATTTACCTCCAACTCGATACATTTTCGTCCCATCTTCTAATCAACCGGGACCTCCTCCTCCTAGTTTCACTTCTGGCGAACTACTACCAACCTTCCCTTGTTCGGAATTCTTCCATCCCACTTTAGCTCCTCAAAAAGTCCTTGATCTCGGCATCCCATCCAACTTTACCCTTCTCTGCCCTGTTCCAGAAAGAGATCGGATTGAAGACATCGACTCCAATCACATAGTGATTTACGAAGATTCACTAGAAGCTAGCTTACGAATTCCCTTCCATCCATTAGTTTGCGACTTCCTAGATAAATACTGTATTCTTCCGGTCCAAATACCTCCTAATTCTCGGAGAATCCTTCTCTGGTTTATACTTATTTGCCATAGACCAGGTAAAACTAATACTCTACTCATTTTTTATTATTTCATTCAGCTAAAATTCCTAAAAGAATTCCCATCTTTTATCTTTAAACACATCGTGAGAAGGGTAATTAGGCCCCCACTGCTATATCCCTCATTCCATATCTAAAAGTAATCCCCATCTTTTATTTTAATTATATAATTACCCTATTTTTCCATTCCTCCTATTTTCCTATTTTAAGATATGATTCATACCTAAAATTCTTACTCGCGTCGTCGTACTGAATCCTTAGCTCTTAGGGTCGAGAGCTACCTCGTAGATATTCAAGACGTTCTCCGAATAACGAACTGATACCTATTTCAATTACTGGAATCTCTAAAATCTTCTCAAAGCGCACTAGAAGTCAAGAAGGAAAACTTGTCCAAACGCCAGAAAAACACGCATCACGTAAGGGTCAAAGGACGACATGCAGAATCCTTGAAAAGATATATCATTGTATGAGCAGCCTTTATTTGAATATCAGTCTGTACTTCCACGAACTCTCTTAATAACTTTGAAATTTTTATTTTTTTTAATCATTGAGCTATATCATAGTTTTCATCACCCTTTTTCAATCATACCCAATGCTTGCAGATGGCTTAAAACTTAAAGATAACTAACTTCAATTATTTTATTTTAAGTATTTTAGATTTCAATTTATATTATTTTCAATTAAATTATTTAATATCTTATTTGTTAAAAAACCATGTAATTAATATTTTGATTATTTTTTTAATAATATTTGTGAATGTCTTTTAAATCATTTCTTACATAACTCATTTAGTAAAAAAAAATAATTAATTTATAATTTAAATAATTTTTCAAACTCATTAACGCAACACAAATACAAATACAGTAGACACAATAAGACTGTAATAGTATTTAAAAATGCAGTTAAAATTATGTTTTTTTTTTTAATTTAAAAATATATATTTTTTTATTTAAATTAATTTTTATGTTTTCATATAGTTTTGATATGTGAATATAAAAAATAATTTTTAAAAAATAAAAATATAATTTATTGATATATTTTCAAATAAAAAATACTTTAAACTATTACCACACTTTTAAATATAGAACTTGTTTGATTTTATAGCTGTAATTGTTTAAATTGTATTTTTATTTAAAAAATATTAAAATAATATATAATTTTTATTTTTTAAATTTATTTTTGATATTAATATATTCAAATGATATAAAAAAATTAATTTAAAATAAAAAAATGTAATTTTTTTAAAACGTTTTTTCAAACGCAAACGCACTCTAAGCAGATTATAAATCCCTCCTTGTCAACTTGACCTTGGACGTACCTGTTTATTTGTGATAATTATGACAGAGGTTTCATTTTACATGACCTACCACGTAACGGCTATTAGTTTGTTTGTTTTTTAGCTATTAGGGCATTCTCATGTCAGTTTTCACAAACGAAATAGCAAGTTAGAAATTAAAATCTAACCAAACGCAGCAGTTGGGTAACATATCAATTCTCAGAGCGTAAATTGTAATCCTCGTAGACAATCTGTGTGAAGCAACGCCATTGATCAACCACGTCTGAGACTGCCATATCACCCGGAGACAGAGAGGAAACGTACAGAGTGGCATTTGCCTCCTCTGCAAGCAACTGAAACTCACAACCAGTTACTATCCACCCGAAGAAAACCACACCCCCTCCTCCATCAACACAGACAGACACTCAAAAGGAGAGGGTGACAGAGATAGCATATGCTTAGGGATGCATCAATTCCCGTCAACAATGATCCACCCTTAGTCTTTGCATAACCTCTTTCGATCTTATTATATATATCCTTCCCTCTTCCCTCTTCTTTTAATTTTCTGTACCAAAACAAAAACCAAGTGTGAAGAAAATTAACATCTCCGGGTGGATTACTATTTTCCGTTCTCTTTGTTTTCCTGAACACAACAGAAAGGGAACTTCTGAACTCTAAGCCAGCTTGTAAGTATATATTTGTCCCTCTCTCTCAATTATAACAATGTGAGTGATGGATATAATAAGGGCGTGTTTCATTATCTGGGTTCTTGCCTTTCTCATTTTGTAATCTGGAATCTCTTTTGCCTTTTTCTGTGTCTGTCAGGTAACGTATACATGTCTTTTCATAGTGGGTTTGATTAAATGAATGTAAGGGCAATAGGAATTCATGTTCTCTGGAATTTTAAGAGTTGTTGCATGGAATTCAAGAACACATAATTTCTTACAGTGGTGCTTCCAAATGCACCTTAATTCATTTTGTCATATGGAATGCATTTTGGTTGTTAGGCGCCTATGTCTGATTTCAAAGTTAAGGATTCATTGTTTCTTCTCCTCGTGTGCCATTAGATCTTAAATGTTGTATTTGAAACTTTTTTTGGGGGGGGCATTTGCAGTTGCTAGTTGACATGTCTAGTAAAGCAGCATAATTTTTTTTTCCACTTTAATTTGGGAATTGCCCAAGTAGACTATTTTTTCTTCAAATCCTCTGGCTTGTTCTCATTTTTTGTCTATTTAGAATCTGGAATGAATAGTCATTATTTCCTAGATACATATGAGAGCGTGTGTGCATTGACTGCTTGATGTCATGCGTATCATAATGCTGGAGGAAAAAACGTATTTAATTTTGGCTATTTCTCCCTTTAGCATATCCTGTTTAAACATCTCACTGTACAGGAAATATCATCTAATTTTCTTCGTTCAAATAGATTTGAAATTTCAGATAAAATTTTGGTTATATTCAAAAGGACAGGTTGATAAATTGAATGCTTAGCCCATATTTAATATGCCATTGTCATTGGATTCTACAAGCCGTATAGCCTATCAAGTTCTCCGATCAATTTTTGTTTGCCCATTTCAGTGATGATGTGTTTCATATGTTTGTAGCATTTCTAGATAACTTGAATTTAAGTTGAAACATACTTCTTAGTTCTTGTTCTGTCAGATAGAGCTATGTGGTCAGGTTATGCCATGATTTATTTCCTGCAAGCCTGAAAATTAAGTGTGCCTGATATGATCTAATGGAAGAATTACAAATTTTTTCTTGTTATTTACATGTGTTCCTGTCTCTTTGGAAGCTCCAGGTCCAGGTCCAGCTTCAGCATAGCAGCTATTGCCTTGTCCATAGAGAGAACTTTTCAAGGTAGTCAACAGAGTTTTGCACCTTGAAAATTCTCTTTGCTGATAGATCCCACGGTACAAAGGTTCTGGGATGGCTGCCAGCTTCTATTATTGGAATGATTGCGTTGATGTCCAGGACATGGAAGCAATGTGGCGGGAACCTGAAGTTAGCACGGAATGGTTAGATGCTGGAGAGACTAAAGGAAATAAAGTTCACCTTTCACGGGATCCTGATGGAGAGCCTTATTTGACGCAGACTGAGATGAAGGTAAAACATCCCTTCATCTACTTCAAAGACAACTGAAAATGCTTTGTATTATATTCAACAAATTTACAATTATAAAACTATGCAATCCGCTTGCTAATGAAGTAATCTATTCAGGCAGCACCATAATGATAATTTCCTTTCATCTTCCTAAATCTTGAGTCTGAAACATTAGTTGCCAATTCATTTCAGATGCTAATTTCACCCGTGGTCTCGTTGTCTTCGATTACTCAAAAAATTGAAGCACACAAGTTTGAATTTGGTGGATTCTTAGATACAAGCCACATAATTTCGATCTTGTTATATAATTGTACTTTGCATCATTTTGCATTCCTTCAGGCTGTTGCTGATATTATTGTCCGGAGACATTTTGATTCACAAGTACACCCGGTATGCTCTTGTCAATTACTTCTTCTTGTAACTCCTTTTATTGCTCAGAAAGAGGCTAAATGTGGGTAATGACTACCAATGTACTGACAGAAAGAGGTTATATATCCGCTAATTGGCTAAAGTCTTCACGAACACCATTAAGTTTGGACCTAGTTTGTTGTTTTAAGACACAGAGAAGCTAGCTATCCTAAAGTACTTTATGCAGTTGGACTGGCCTCGAAATTCAACTTCCTGTAAATAGTAACTGAAAAGAAGTGATCTGACCTTCACCCTACTCTTTTTATGCCATGATTGCATCACTTTCATAGCTTGTAGCATTGTAAAGAAAGTAAACAGCATATGCACAAGGCTACATGCACTTTCATGACTTGGTCATGTATCAACCTAGGCGTTAAGAATGGTTGGTTCGATTGAAAAATTCATCATAGATATTTATTTTCTGTTTTATTCCTCACATCTTTACAGTAAGTTGTCAATGGACCAAATGTTAAGTGGATCATATTTTCTGTTTCAGTCACTGCAAATTCAGCCAACTTTTTGTCTCTTCTCTTTGCTTTTTGTGAAACAGATAAGCATGAAATAAAACTTAGTTGTCTGCATACTGCTTCCTGAATTGTCCATGAACAAACTTTTGGTTTCGGGAAGAATTGTATGACTTCATAACAGCATTTTGGCAACATCAATGAGTAATTTAGCTTTAAGAAGCTAACTGCACGTCTCCATTTTGCCTCCATTCCCTGTGTCTGCAGGACATGATATGTGCTATAGCTGAACTTGAAAGTGACAGACAGCCCCTCTCTACGAGGTGGTATGATAAAAAAACAAAGGAAACAGCCCTGGGGATCATGCAAATTTTACCAAAAACAGCAGCGTGGCTGGTCAGGTATCAATTATATGTTCTGGTCCTTTTTTTGAGCTCCTTATTAATGGACCCTTTTTATGTTAAGCTTATTCTGGCTCTCAGAAGTTGTAACTGGAACTTTCTGGCAGACACTTAGGTTATCGGGCATATGAAGTAGAAGGGAATCCAGAAATTCTATGTCGTCCTTTTGTTAGCGTTTATTTTGGTGCTGCTTATCTTAAATGGCTGTCGAACTTTGAGAAAAAGTAAGTTATCAATCAGAGATACGATTGGTTCAATTAACCATTTGTGCTGCTTATATTTATTTATTTTGAGTTTCATTGATTTAGGAAATATCAATTTTTGAGGTATTTTGCAGAGTAAGAAGTGAAGAGTTCGTAGTTAGGGCGTATAACGGCGGCCCTAAAAAAGCAACCCACAAATCGACTTTGCCATATTGGAAAAGATACCTTTGTGTCAAAGAAAGTCTCCCATCCAGGTGAAAGTTTTTTCGTGTATTACTTTGATGATAGCTTGTGAATTATACAAGCCCCTGCATTTCTCTCTGTTTTGTCCTCCCCTCCCTTCCTTTATTATCTTTTTCTGCTCCCCACTTGACTTTGGATTCCAAGTAGTTCCAAAATTGTTATCTGAACAATTTCAAAGGTGAGTCGGAAATTCCGATGCTCTCATCTGCCTGAGAACTCTTTGTTTCCATTGAGCAACAAAGTCCTCGCTTGGAAATCTGTGCACCCCCCCCCCCCCCCCCCCCACCCCCCCCCTCACA